ATACGGTTTAACATATCCTTCTGGCCAGACTTTTACTAATTACAAGTTACGCTTTTTGGGGTTTATCCTCTGTACTAAAAAGCTTGTCTCATCGGTGACTTTTGTTACAGATATTTTTTAGGATATGCTTTGTATTTTGTCGCGTTTTTAGTGCTATCAGCTGCAACTTTATTTTAATTTCTACGTTTTTGATATTACAAGCTGGTACTTTGACATTTGCTTATTATAACGTATATATGTATGTATATATTTAAAATGTGACTTAAATACTATTTCAAATGGTGTTGAGAATATTTTTGAAAAATTAAATCTGTTTACTATGTCATTGGAGAATACTTTTGCAATACGTTTGCAAGAGATTGACAGATTGGACAAAAATAATTTATATTAAGCGTATAGTTTTTATATCTTTAAATAAAAAATATGTTATACTGTTTGGCAAAATACAAGCCAATATTATCTCCATGTTTGCTTGCATATTTTAGTTTATAAATTATACAGTAAGCATACTGCATTCCTGTGCTTATTTCGATACACATACGAGAGTTCATACAGCGTACAATGAAATAAAATCTGAATTACCATATTATAAATTTCTTTCGTCAACACGAGAACATTGATAAGTCATGAGAACTCTACCATTCGCTAAGCTTAAATTACTTCAAAAATTCAGTTTTTGATATAATAGTTTTTTACAATTATTTTTTACAGACAAAAACAAGAAACAATCCAACAAGAAACAATCCAACAAGAAACAATCCAACAAGAAACCCCTTAACTTTGATCAATCACATATTTTTTTAGTTCGATAAATACTTCACTTCTTTCAGTTTCAGATATTTTTTGGGCCGAAAGGCACTTAAATTTTAAAAATAATTGTGTTTACTTTTTCAATAGTTCTTTTATAAAGAATTAAAGAATGATTAATTTTTACAGTCGCGTAAATGACTATAAAATATATTTGTAGGGGTTTAAATCTTTATTTTTATTCCACTTTAATAAAATCAAAGCTCAACCGAAACTATGTTGTAAAAAACATTATATTATTATAATTCATTATAAATGTAGAATGAACTGCCGCTTTGAAAGCACTGAATCAGATCATTACTTCTTCTGCTTCTTCTTTTCAGCTTCCTCCTCCTTCTCCTTTTCAATAACAGCAACATATTCCTCTATTGTTTTTGTATCAAGCATTTTTAGTGGTTTATTTTTTTCCATTACTGCAATTTCTAGATTCTTTTGTCCAGTTTGTGCTACTTCTAGTAACGCCTTAATGGCCAATTTAACAGCGCCTTTTTCATTGGCAACTTCCTCTTCTTTATACTGTTTTTCTAAGAACTCGCGCACTGTTTTTGCTGAGCGACCAGTAGCATTTGCTTTCCATTCATAATAAATACCTGAAGGTTCAGTTTGATACAAGTGTGAAGAACCATTTATATCAAAACCGGCAATAAGGCAGGAAATGCCAAAAGGACGACGTCCATTACTTTGTGTATACTTTTGTTTTAGCTGCGCAATATATCTAAATTACACATGTAAATAAAATTTTAATTGTACTTATAGTTCCTTAAACACTTACCGTGTAATATATTCCAATGTAACAGGATCTTCTACGCTCAGCTTATGGCTTTGACATTCTACTTGTGCACGGTTTATTAAAACGCGTGCATCAGCGGTCAAACCAGCAAATGCCATCACAACATGATCATCCAGTGGGCAAATTTTTCGCACTGTTCGCTCTTCTTGAAGCTTTGCAACAGATTTCTTTTCTACACCTAAAACCACACAATTTGCTCCACAAATACCAACCTTAAAAGAAAATATTTTATTGAACATTTATTTCTAACAATTTGTTGAAGTAATCTGAGGTTAGTGCACTTACTGCTGTTGAACCTTTGCGTACAGCTTCTTGTGCATATTCCACTTGAAGTAAATGTCCATCGGGTGAAAAAATTGTAACAGCACGATCGTAACGAGACATTTTGCAATTTTTATTATAAACGCTTAACTGACTACTTCCCAAGCAAAAACACCGACAATGATTCTAAAAAAATTGAAAACTGTTTGTCAGCGTGGCACTGCCAGCTTCAAATACAGAATTTTTATTGTCACCTTTTGCGTGTTGCCACATGTCCCAAACTTGCTATAAATATAATATTTCATGGCACGTCACATCAAAATAATATCACAATATATTCTTGATTCATGATAATATGATATAGGATAATATAGTTGTTGCAGTCATTAAGCCTAATGGTTTATAATATCGATGCGTAAATCGATGCGTTTATATACATAATAAATTGGTGTATGCATGTAATGAATTTATTTCTATATAGCGAATAAAATACATAAATACTATATATAAATATTGCCGTTTTCAAATTTCGTCCGCTAGAAAAAATGCATATGGTTTAATAAGAAAATGAGAGTATATTCAAAAATCTTGCCAAAGTCTATCCAATGTGTATGGAGAGTTTTAAGTAGTATTCAGAAGTTTGAATTAATTCTTTTAATTTTAATGAGTTTTAATTAATATTTAAAAAAAAATTTTAAGATAAATACTACATAATTACTGTTCATAACGTTCACATTAATTAATTATTTTGAATAATAATGAAAAAGTAAAACTCTATTTTAAATCTTGTTAAAGTCAATTCAGTGTAGATGGGGTTTATTATTAATTATGTTTTAATTAATAATCTTTACAATTTTTAATATTTTAAGGAATAATTGTTATATAATTCTTTTCCACAATTTGAATTATTTTGAATATTAATTCATTATTACAAATATATAACTTTTATAACTTTATATCGACTACAAAACACTAAAACTTGGCAAACATTGTTCTCAACAAATGCTGTAAAAATAATTCCAGTAACTTGCTTCCTTCAAGCCTATGAAGACTGAGAAACTTTCTTCCTTCGACTGAGAAACAATTCATGTTTTAAGTATATTGACAGTTATGTATGATCACTGCAGCTGTGGGTTCTTAGAACATTACTAAATAGGAACATTCCTAAGAGAACTGAATTAAGAGCACTTTGATTTTGGAATGAATGAAAAATGAAGGGATTGTATTGAAAAAATAATATTTTTGTCTGAAAGTTTTGTAAATATATAAAATGATAATTTTAACTACAATTTTCAATATACAAAATTATTAATTTATGAAAAGTTTTGTTGATTATCTTCTGTTAAATTAATACACGTATTAGCGGTAATTCAAGGGATGCACTTTGGCTTATTGTCACATGGAACCTTCAATAAAGTCCAAACAGTTTTAATGGAGAGATGAGTTCTTGAATAAGTATTTAAAATATGTGTGCACAAGTAACGCCATTAACAGAAATTGTTAATATTAAATATATTAATTGAGTTTCCTTTTACTTTATCTCAATATGTACTGACTAAAAATTAAATATGTTTAAATAAATGTGTTTAATTTCCATTATTGGTGTATCAATTAAGTTTACTTATTCACATAGTGTTAATGGAGCTGATATTACATGTACAAATAAATTTTTATGGATTTCTAGCTTTGATGTAGAGTTTTATTAACCACATTGTATGCATAGAGCTTAAATAAATTACTTTGCTAATTGGATAAAGTTTCAATATTTAAGAATATTAAATTTTAAAAGAAAATATAAAAATAAAAATATATAGAAAATTGTTTCAAACAGAAAATCTTAGAAAATGACGTCCATTTTAATACTCAAATATTATGAAGGCAGGTCGACTGATTTCAATAAAATCAACACATTGTAACCCCGAACTGAACAAAACTTAACTGAGGTCAGTGAGTAACCAGTGCAGAATCATAGCTATGGGTTTTAGGGCACTGAGAAATAGAGGGAAATGAAATTGCTGATTAACTAGATAGACATGAATTAGCAGTATTTTTCAGCAGCAGAATAAAAATTGATTTCATTATAAGGTGCTTACAAACATATATTTAACAATTTTATTAAGATTCGGTGCGAGAAATCTAAACTAAGATTATTAACTTGTAGAATTTCTTTGACGTGAAGATGTATAAGGGTTATTCTTATATGTTGCATTTGAATGGAATGATTATGCCCACAATTCAATTATTCATTTAGGCGAAATTTTACCTCCTGAACAACTTCGTTTAATTAAAGCATGATCCACAACATTCTTTGTGGCCAAGACCTGACTTGAATTAGACATTACACTATGGATCTAAACGATTAATAAATATTAATAAATATTTTTGGCATGAGTTTTCCAAATGCATTAACAATTTCGGAATAATTACATGAAATTAATTGATAAAGAATTATTGTCTCACTCACATATTAAAAACATATATGGCACTCAGTATAATACAAGAGTAAAATTCGATTGGCTTTAAACTGTAAGTATTTTTGTTTGCAATTGGAATAATATTTTGACTCGATTAAGCACCCTGTTATTGGTGAAACTGTCATTTTCCAGTGCGTACGAATTCGCAAAAGAGAATGTCAAAGACAATTTGTAGTTTTTTGTCTTTATTGTCATTTCAGAAAAAGCTGTCCACGGAAAAGAAAGGATTTTTGTTTTTTGTTGTTTTATTTTGTGCAAAACAAAAAAGTGATTCTGTTTTATTTTTATGTTAGCTAAATATTTGTGCACGTTATTTATATGTAAAACGCCTAATTTAAACGCAACGAGAATAGAAGAAGAATTGCCTACGGAAAAGTGAAAAACGGTCGAATGCAACTAAAAATTAAGTTCTTAGCTGAAAGGCAAGGTGAAGAAAAAGTGACGGTGGAGCGACGACGTCGGTGATCGAAATTCAGTTAAATAAATCAAAGCAGTGGATTTAATAATAAAGTTCTTGGTTTCATTTGTGGGCAATACGGTCGAGTCGTTGAATAGAATAAATAAAATAAAAACCGTTTAAAGTGGCAAGTGATGGCATTAGCGCGGAACTTAGCGGCCAAAATATGTGAGTATTGTCGGCGTTAAATATTTAAAAAGGAAATTGTGAAAAGCCGCTTACGCAAAAATTACGAAAGCACGGAAAAATGCTGCCATGAAATACATATACAAATAATATTTAATAAAATTAAACAAATTTAAGTGTTAAAAGTTAAGCAAATTATGCACAAGGTTATGCAAATTCATTTGTTTTGTTGTTGCTCGAGTTAACTTTTCACTTCCCCTTCTTTTAGTCGTACAAAATAATACTTTAGCACGTCTGCTACTGAAAACTAAATGTAGCTAAATGTGACTAAATGTGGCCACTTCCCCTATGCCGCAGCTACGTTTGAATAAGAAAATTTTGAAGTTTTTGCGTAGCCTAATTAGAATTTATTTTAATTAATGAAATTCCTCTGCACACAAAAGCTTACAAAACTCGAAGGCGTTGGTGTTGCACGAAAATATTTCTTTTTTTTCATTTTTCTAGTGTCGTATTTCGAATTGAAAATATTTTTACGGATATCACATATTTGTCTTACTTAAAGCGTTTCTTATTGTTTTTAGTATGAATCATTACTAATATCTGTTATTATATTACTTTACTTATCATTAATTCTATATGAATGCCCTAAAACCAACAACGCTACAAAACACAAAACAAAACATAAAAACGTGAAACGTGAAAACACTGTAGATGAGATAAAAGCCCATAATGCGAATGTGACATGTCTCGGTCTTGGTGAAACCGGACGCGTCTTGGTTACTGGTGGCCAGGATCGCACTATTAATTTATGGGCCATAGGACAGGATGAATGTTTTATGGTAAGCTTATCATTCATTATTTATAAAGTAAATAACAATAATGTATTTTTTAATTTGTTTTATTGTGAAGACAAATTTTGTATATTAAAATTTCGTATATTTCAGTCTCTCACTAGTCACAACCGTCCTATAGATTGCGTGCGGTTTGCTTATAATGATGATTTCGTTTATTCAGCCGATGATATTGGTATCATTCGTCGATGGGACCTGAACGCACAGACCATATGCTCTACGCTTAATGGGCACATGAAAAGTGTACGCACATTGGACTTCAATCCATCAGGAGAATATGTAGTCTCCGGGAGTAATGACACTACTGTCAGGTAATTATGCATATTGTAGATACTGTATTTTGGATATATACAGGATGTTTATTACAACTATAGTAAGTGGAAAAAATGTGGGTGCGACTAGTCAATCAAAGATCTATTCACAAAAGAACCTTCTGTATCAAAAATGCTTAATGTCTCGATAACGGTGCTTCAAATAATCTTAAATTGATGTCTAATACCTCTCTGCATTTTAATGGGATTGAAAAATATGGTAGTTTCAATTAATTTATTTTGAAAAATCTTAAATAATTTCTGTGGAAAATCGTATTGTCAAAATTTCTTTACATATTTTTATGACTCTTTTTCGTATATCAATATATGAATTGTTTAGGCTTGGTTGGTTGATTGCAGTGACAGACTTTTCTTAGTTAAATTCCACGTTAGTGACTTTTTACTTTCGTCTTCACAGATGAAATAGTAGTATCTTCCTAAAAACCTTTTTCTTTTGGACGCCAAAGCCGGGCATTCACAGAGAAAATGTGCTATGGATTCGAGTTTCCACAACTTCTGTAGTGAGTAGTGAGGATTGTGAGGAATGCGCAGTTTCTCTGAGTGAGTTCCTATACACCAATGACCAGAAAGAGCTGGAGTAAGCCTTGCAGTGTTCACATGGTATCTTTTGATGAGTTCTGAGTATCTAATTTTATTATAGGTGGGCCATATTAACTAGGAAGTTATTAAGAATAAATACAATAAATACAATAATTTATATTCAGAGTTATATTGAGAATGGACCCATCTTCTTATACGAATATTTTTCATTTCTTGCACCAATGATTTGTTAAAATATTTGGCGCATCTAACGTAGTATTGCCAATTATTTATTTTTTATTTAGATTGAATTTTATAATTGCATATGGAAGTTCTAATACTCAGAATATGTATTAGTACTTTAGTTTTTGTATCAGATAAAATGGTAAAAGTTTGAAAAATTTTCTATATGAAGGACAATCGGTAGACGTATATCTAGTAATCATAACACTATATTGTCTTTCATATTGTCTAAATTGTCTTGTTTTAAATAATCTCACAAAATTAAATCTATTTTAAGTAAATTTATTGAATTTATTTCTTATTGAAATAACAAATGAATTTCTACACTCGTTCTACACTCGTGAAATATTTACGGATTTGTTTTTAGTTTCATAAAAGAAAAAACATAATCAGAGTATGCTATTTCTTCTTATACTTTCATGAATTTCTTCTTATACTTTTAATTTAACTAGAATAACAGAAAATCGCTTTTCACACTCCATATCCATATCCAAACGGAGGATATGTAATGGAATAAAATATAATTTAGTAGTGTTTTCCTTCATATTGCGATAAAGCAAACATCGGATTCTTCTTATGGTGTATATATTCTTAATCACACCTGCGTTTGTACATTTATACATGAAAATTTAGAATGTAGAAGAATATCTTTTTGAAAAATTGGAATCTTTTAATAATATGCCTGTATTTGTTTTTATATTTCGTGTTTGTAAAGTGTTGCAATTTATTTTATATATAACTACCAAAAATTGCGCAGTTTATTAGCATGTGTATAAACATTAGTAACATAAATTCACGGTGTGTATATCGTTATGTAGGGGTATATTTTAATGTTCAACGTTTTCATGACAAATGTAATAATTAGGTCATGCAAACAATATACAGGCGTGCTCATTTATTCATTAAAATCTGATTAATAACTGATTTACATTAGATAGAAAAATTTGAAGATATCAATTCTTTCTAAATTCTGTACTCACACTTTATCTGCAATGAAAGTCCTTGCAAATAGCAAGTCTCAGAACTCCCACATAAGAATGTCAATTTTATTCCATGGAGCGAGTTTTTTAAAACTTTGCTGTATTCGAAATCCACTTTTATTTGTTAATCTCTTCTAAGACCTCTACAAACACAAAATCGGTTAATGAACTCATATCAGTCGTCTTTCGTACTGTCGTTAGTCAAATAATTAAATGTATGTGAAATCTACAAAGTAGGTTGATTGCAACAACGTGTAATTCGCTTGTGGAAAACATAGCATAACCATCTGTTGCGACATTTATAATTTTGAAAAGATATTCTTGACTTTATTGTGGCACAATTAAAGCAGCATTTTGCTACAGCGAAAATGTACGAATCTTCAACATCAGATTTGCAAAATGTATCAGCTAAAAGGTCAAAATAAGATACATCAAATATTTAGATTTAGCTGCCTCAGTTCAAAATTCTTTTTCTTTTCGTTGCTTTTTCTTTTCATGATAAATACAAAAAATACAAAAAATACATAAAAGAAAATTTGTCAACATTTAATTTGAGTAACAAAGACTCAAATATTTTGACTTGTGTTTTTTATTTGAAAATCGTTTATGGCAAACGCTCCATGAAGTGAAGTGAAGAATACACATATTCGAGATTCGAGATTCGAGGTATTCAACTATTCGAGAAAAAGTAAAGATTCTGCTGTTCAACGTAACGCTCAAGTGATTTCTGACGTATGCAAACCGCCTCATTGTCAATTACATAGTTTCGTGCCGTTGGGCTGCATTTATTAATTCTGCTTTATTTGGCTTTGTAGCTACGTTTCAGCTTTTGTTTCATCTGTAGTGGGTGTTGATTGGATTTATCGAAAGCACTTCCATTGATATTCAAAGCAAAATTACAGAGATTGGTTTTCGCACTTAACGCCAAGATTTTTAGATTAGTCAATTTTATACACTAGAAAACAATGTTTACGTTTATTAAAAATGCTTGAAATTCTTTAACTAAAATATATTTATTTCATATATTTGAATGTATGAAAGTAACATTTACCTTAACATTAAAATCTGAGAATCATTTAGATTGTTTATTGTTTTAATAAACAATACCAGTTTCATTCTACTGGATTATTTTTAACAGTTGTTGCAGTTTTGGAGTAGATAGTTAAATAAACTATCCGTGTGGATGCACAACAAACGCGCTGAAAATGTGTCAAGAATCATAAATACCTATCATTATTATTATTATTATTATTATTGTTAGTTCTTTAACAATGTATATTACCAATTAAATTTACATAAAATTATAGAATAAAGTCGTGCTTCCAATGTGCCTTCTCCTCTGTACCAATTCATTAATCGTTATATCGTTAATATAAACATGGTGTATTAATATATTGTAATCCATTGGTGGCAAGAGAAGTTGGACTTGGATTAACCTATTTATTTAGTTGAATATTACTGATTTGTATTATTGTTGACTGGGTTTACTCAAGTAGATCAATGGCTTGCTATTGTCAGTTGGTCAGTAACGATTCTTTTCATATCGTCGGTCACTGGATTCTCCCACCAATGATGGTAACGCTTCCTACTGCATTTTTCACCAACGGGTACCACACCAAACAATTTTCTATAGTAACCATTCGTACAATATGACGAAACTATGTTTGCATTTAATCATGTTGATGCGTGGTATAGCTTATATAGTGATGATATGCTTATAGTGATGAGAAAGCATGAGCATTCCTCTCATCACTGTTAGATATTGTTTACACTTCTTCATTATGCAGCAAGATAGGAATGATAAAAGATTTGTAAATTGCGATTTTTTTTTGACGTGGGCTTTATTTCTCAATTGTTTATCAAGCTCGAAGTAACGTGATTGTGATTCTTTTTTATTATATCTGCTAAATTAAATATCATTAAGACAGTTAACGTAAAAACATGTTATGGAAACTACCATGTCAGGGGTTAATGTAAGGTCATGTGTGCAGCAAGCGTTAATGTAATGTCACATGTGCACTGTAACATAAGGTTTTCAATTAAATATATATCATTTACTTCTGACTTCACTTTTTTTATATTGTCTTTTACTTATTAACAATTACTGCCTTGTTGTGTGTACTTCAATATAGTTAGAGCGGTTAAAATGAACCGTATCTGATTTTCTAGACTTTTAGAAGTTATTGTTGTCTCTCACAAGGTCGCTCTTTTTGCTGGGTTTCTGAACATAACAATATTGAAGGAAATGAACTAGCAGATGAGATGGCCAGAAGAGGTTCTGAACTGCATACAAGAGAGACCGATCTTTCAATACAAACACCGATATGTGAACTGTTTCGGATAATAGAGGAAATTATCAATATGGTGACCAACAATTTATAGGCTAACCGCAAATACTGTGGGGTCGCTAAGCCTTTTCGACTTCAGCAAATCTGCAGTTCGTGTACTTACTGGAGTATTTATGTCCCGTTAATACTCCATATGCCATTGTGCCTATGCTCCAATGGTGGCAAATTCCAACAAGTGGACTATGCAGGAATTGCGAAGATGAAGAGGAAATAGAATCTATTAAGGGCTTCATATTTACTATCAAGCGAAGTTGATTCTGAGTTACATTCAATCAAGTTTTCTTAGTGCATAAATATTACTTTTATTTTAATGATTCATACAGCAATCCTGAATGAATAGGATACTATGAAATAGTGACCATCGAATTTTGTAGTCTTGTAATATTATAAGTTATTATTGTTTACTTTATTTATTGATGGATAAGTATTACCTTTTACTTTGTTAACACATGAATTCATTTATAAATTAGATGTTTTTAAATGCGTTTTGGTATTTTATAATATTTTAAATGTTTATAACGCAATAGATACATACAGTGTCTAACTTAATTACTGGCACAGCAATGTTGTACTTTAACAATATTTACTCCGTTAATACAGTGACTTTTAATTAACAAAAATTTTAAATTATAGATAGAATGTATAATTTCTAATTAAATTAATTAACAACTTCTAATAGCAGTCGCCTTAGCGTCAAATAAATCAATTTTTGTGTGATTTCTTGCCCAATATTTTGCCACTTTTCTAGCAGTACCACCGTTACTATAGCTCTACCTTTGTTGTAATAGCGCGCTTCTTTTAATGTCTTCTAATTCTTCTCACAAATATTCAATGGTGATTGAGATCTGCTGATTGGGGCGGATGCGGCAATGTGTGATTTACATGATGT